ATATTAGGAATTAAACTATAAAATATAAAATATATATTAATAATAATATATCTTCTTAGTACCTAGCTAATATTATAATACCTATTTATGTTTTTCCAATCTAGCTTAGCTTTACTAATAACTAACTAAAAGGTTACATCCTAAGGCCATTACATTTAACAGCAATAACCCCTTAGATAGGTAAGGTTAGCCGTTCGCGGCATTTGGTTAATTTGAAATAATAGGTAAGGTTAAGGTTATAAGGGTTAAAATGACAGGAAAACAATGTAACGAGATATAACGCTGTGGGCCCTATGAGGCGTATCCTCCTGGGCGTAATAAATCCATTTATTTATTCATTCATAGATCATTACTAAATAAAAAGACATAGGGTTCTAGCCCAACTATTAGAAGCAGCAAGAAGGAGAAGACAGATTTTTTACCTGAATATTTGGCATTATCCCTAGTTGTACACTCTAAAAGAAAATTTCCCAAGCCGCCTTAGCTGTCATCCCCAAAAGCGCAAACGAGCTCGCGGCAAAAACCGGGAAACGGATACCGGGATTATTAGTTGATACATGAATCAAGCTGTGAAGAACTCGTAGACCAACATAAGCCCATGCCAAGCGAACAGTATTCTTATCCTTAATATCTAACAAGCTTAACCCAAGCACAATAGCATAGAATTGGGTAGGTTGCTCTTGTAAATTGTTGAAATTATCTGCCGCCCAATTGACAAAAGGAGGCAATTTCTCTGCCTTTTGTTGCTTAACAGTAGCTGGATCGAAAGTGACGCCATACTTGGAAAGCGCAGGAATTCTGCGTTTATATAGCAGGGCTTCTATAGCGAAAACCCAACCGTTGAGGGCAACGAGGGGGCCAAGGAGTGGCTTGTTGATGAGTTGCGACATGGTGGCTATCGAATGAGAGTTCTTTGGTTGTAGGATGTGATTGATTTCGTTAAGGTGGGTGAGCGATAACGTTGCGGCAGGTGGGAGACAATGTTGCTTGAAGGGAGGACGAACTTGAACAGAGGTAATGATGACGGCATGACTACTTATATACTTTCTTTTGCGGGGTAAGAACCCTAGCCCCTTACATAACGCTATAGAGTGGGGCTTTGTAACTTAGCCCGATTTGGTCCGCGTTCTCAGCGCTGCTTTTGCACATCATGTTCTTCCTTACAACAACACCGTAATGATGCCTCGAATCAGGGATGCTACGAAACCTCTGTGAGACAATGCCAAACTGCGTCAATACTCTAATTGCCGCGGAAGGTTGATATACTAAAGCTGTTCTACTTAATATTGCTAGATTGAAAATACAAGCTAAAAGCGGCACCTTTACTCCGTAAAAATCCCTAATCTGGCTAGAGGAGATACTCCTAAGTAGGGGGTGCAAATACCTTTTACTCCTACTGTACCCTTTTTTTCATCCCGGGCTGCGGGGAACCAGCGGGTAGGCGGGGAAGACAGAAGCCGACCGGGTCGGGTTTATTTCGGCACTCGACTCGAGGTACCCATGCTTAACCGATCCTAATCTTAACCTCTCTCTACTCTATTAGCAGCCCCTATTACTTACTATATTAAGTAGCCTATTTTCTTATAATGTAATATTAAAATCTATATCTTTAGTTTATAATAGTTAGGTTTATACAGAGTAACTATAAGTAAATTAAGCTATATTAGGATTATTATTAAGAGATTATATAAAGTATTATAATAAATATTATTAAAGTAGTATATTTCTTAATAGTAAGTTTATTATATAGTAAACTTAATTTAATATAAAGAATTTTTATTAATAGTTAGTAAATTAAGCTTTATTTATTATTAAATAAATATATATTTATACTAATTAGTGTTAGTTATAAAGTAAATTGCCTAATTACTATATAATTTTAAGAATTACTAGTATTTTTAAAGTAATTATTATAACTAGGTCTTGGTAGGTATAGATAAAGTCTTTTAATTTATAATAACTAATAAAAGCTTGAAGCGGTTAGTGTTATATGTGTTGTCGAAGCTAATAACCTCGGGAAACCGCTTACACATCTGACAAGGCCAATGAGGCGGCTTGGCTCATCATCCGCCCATTTAACGACGTAAGGAACGTCCATCTCATTAAATAGCTTGATTAGTGCTGCAGTGGGAGTGTAGCCATTTAACTTGTGTCGATTGATGAGAGCCCGGGCATTACAGATGTCCCTCTGCGTGAAGGTTGATTCGGGGTGTTGCTCTTGGACTACAGCCCGTACGTCACGGGCCGTCTGATTGTCCGGGCTGACCCTCAATGGCAGATTTAGGTGAGGCTGGGTCATCAAGCAAAGTAAGGCCTGAGAATTCGGCTGCAGGTGGATGTTCTTAAGTAATATTAAACTGCTCGACAATCCGTTGTGCCTTGGTAAGGTGCTGCTGGTTACGGTGTCGTTAAACACGGAGACGCGTTTGCGCACGCGGCAACAGGGCATGGTTCGGCCTCTTCGGAGAACACTAGAAACTAGATAGTCGCCTACTTATAGGGTAATGCTATCTTGCTGTTTGTTACCATGTGCTGGTAAGTTAAATGTTAGCCTGACGTTGAATTTGAGGTAGAAAAGATGTATACAAAGCAGAGAGCTTCCTTCTCTAGTTATTTTGATAGGTAGCTGCTTGTGATAATAGGTAGATGGTAATTATCTAAAAGCAAAGTATTATTCTAAAGGGCTGCTGTATAATATTGCCTTGAGCGGTCTTGTTCCTGCGCAGCCATATCTGCCTTTTCTTGCAACGCGTTTTACATTACAGCTAAACGTTAATAAGCAAAAACGCGCCCGGTTTTTAGCACTTGAATGGGGGTAGAAATCTAAGGACTTTAATTAGTTTAAAAGACAAAACATAGCGCGTTTTAATAAAGAATACTTAAGTAAGGGTAACTTTTTATTTTTAGTAGTTATACTGCTTTAGTTTAGAAGATTTAGTAAAGAAAGAATAGTACTAAGTAAAGTAAAAAGGTTATTTTAAATAACTTATTATAAACTATTATAAATACTTATATACTTACTAGTTAAGTATCTTTACTATATATTAAGATAAATTAAAATATACTTTTAATATATTATTAACTATAGTATTTAAAGCTATATAACTATATATATTAAGTAAAACTTAT